GAAGACTTGATTTCCAAGTCAGTTCCTAACTAGAAAAGCTAATTAAAACTAAGTTTCCTAAAACCTCCAGGAAACTGCACGTGATCCTCATTGCGAATGCGATTTGGACACGTTTCTGACCTCCAAAAATTACGTATGACCACTCTTTGGAAAGCTCTGGATGTCTTCTTTTCAGCCATATATCATGTGCCTCAATCCGATGTTGTATGAGTGAGTTGTAGCCAAAATACCCCTGCTGACTCAGTATTCTCCGGGAATTGATTTATGCTGAATTGTCTAATTAAAAATGGGCACCTTAGCAGCCTTCAAAAATTATGAAAATATTCATGGATAAACTTCAAGATGCTGTCTCCCATCTCCAATTGGAATCATGTCGAACTCTATTATGATGAATATTTGACGAATTTATTCATTCCGTGGCTCATAAGCTGAAAAACAGGAAATAACTCAACTCAGCATCTTTAGTCCAAATTAATTCACAAAACTAAGTAAAAAGGATATAAAATCATGTGAATTTATGAACACATCAGGAACCTCAACTTCCTTTAGAGTTTAGGATTTTAGGGTTTGACGTGGGTCTAAACTCAAAACCCTAAAGCCAATGTCTCATATACGTGCTCCACGTCACCAAATAGGTGCTGTCCACATGTTACGCTTGAAATTCATCACACATGCGAGGGCGTGTGAGAATATAACATCAATAATAATAGAAAATTAGTTAAATACCCATTCCTAGACATAGTTCTATAAAGGAACCCTATATCATTCAATGTATATAAACACACCCAAAAAATACTCAAAACTGACAGTTGTTACATTTTTTAGTTTAATTAGTTAAATGAAATACCTTTATTACCCATTTAGTATTAAATTAGTTTTTTTGAAAAATTCTGGATGCTCTCTCTCTCTCGTCTCTCTCCCTTCACGGAAACCAGGCCAGCGATCTTAGTGCTACAGCCACAGCCAGCAGTGAGAACGATCGGAAAAAGACCAGTCAGGGCCGATGATCAAGTCTGTGCTACTTTGTACTGCAGCTACTTCAAATGAAGCGTGCGGAAGTGCTGATTGAATCCACTGGTGTGATTGGCCAAAGGATAAAAAAGGTACTATATAACCATCATATTCATGTTTCCATGTTATGCTCAAATTCTAATCATATTGATTTGCACAAGATTTTTTGAAATATTAACAGATCAGCTGATAAATGTTGCATGATAATTTTTAGGAAGATTTATAATATGACTTGTTCTAAGTGTTGTACAAACGATTCATTTTTTAATTTTCATATGCAGGAAGCACTTCTAAAATCTCTTCCAAAATTGGTTAATTCACTATCAGCATCAACTGAGGGGTAAATGTTAATGGTTTTGAACTTAACTTACATAACTGACATAATTTCATATATAACTGGTTGTGTTTATTTTCAGCATCGAATTTCAATTCGTGTTTTTCTTTGTTTGTGAAACCTTGGGCTTAAATTTTTAAATCATCTCCCTGAGAAGTCATTTTGTCTTGGTCTGCAGGGCAGATGATGCAGCAGTGACAATCACAACAACTGACCTTGTTAGCAAGAGTGTGGCAATTCAATGTCAGGTGTGCAAGATCTAGTTTCATGTATTTATATTTGTAGTGTATGCAATATCTGCTACTTTTTGGATTATGTTAATTGTTGATTAGCTGTACAAAACTTTGGCAATATCATGTTTTTATTTTTGAAACCTGTAGGCAATAAAATAGAAACCAGGCTGGTCCTTAAAAAAAACTGGTGAATTTTTCAGGTTGGAGGGACATATATAAGAATTAGGGGAATGGCAAAAGGTTCCAGGATGATCCACCCCAATATGGCTACCATGCTTGGAGTATGTCTTCTAGTGTTTCTCGTTTGATGTTTGGAGAAAAATGGTTCAAGTTGCTGTAAACCGAAGCTTCAACCAAATAACAGTAGGTACATTTTTTTCCTTCCAATTATTGAACGCCATAACTTAGTGGGGCTACACCTCACGTGGTGTAATCTTCATTTGCTTTTGTGTCAAATCAAATTTACTTATCTTAATTAATTACCATATCCATGGAAACTGCAAAAGGGTTGCTCAATATAAGGTTTGTTGCCATTAGTTAGCAAGGAAGAAGACATTTAATATTTTTTACCGGTGGCAAAAAATGAAAAGAAAATCAAGGCTTTGGCTGCTGCAACTCATAGTATTTGTTTCTGTCATGGCAGTTTTGGTAGCAACTTGTTGCCAAACCAGTTCACCTGCAACACTTGTTTTTCAATTTCAGTTGTATTACAAGGTTGCTGGTTTACGAAGATGGGGTTTTTGCTCTGGGTTCCTAGGTTTGTTCCAAAGGGTTGTGTTTTCCATTATGTTTTTCAAGGTTGTTGGTTTATGAACATGGGGTTTTGCAGTTGTATATTTTTATCGTACCTATTATGCAAA